TATTTTAGCAGAAGATTTATTCAGAAAGTTCATGCTTGTCAATCTAAAAGATTTGTCTTTTTCTCTATTTTATACAAACTGTTATTTGTATTATGCACATCTATGTATTATGTATATCTAAGTACATCTATGTAGTATTATGTTCATCTATTGTACATCTAAAAGGGGAAACAATGAGATTTGGTGTGTGTNACTAGATATTTATTTTAGCAGAAGATTTATTCAGAAAGTTCATGCTTGTCAATCTAAAAGATTTGTCTTTTTCTCTATTTTATACAAACTGTTATATGTATTATGTACATCTATGTATTATGTATATCTAAGTACATCTATGTAGTATTATGTTCATCTATTGTACATCTAAAAGGGGAAACAATGAGATTTGGTGTGTGTGTGTGTGTGACAGAGATAGTAGTACACGGTTTCCCAGCTACCGCCTGCAGGCTCAGCACCCCCACTCTACTCCGAGAAACAGCTTTTAGACAAAAATATCTCTCTCCTGTTGGTTACCCCCCCCTTCCCCAGACACACAACACCACCTCCATTTCCGCCACAGATATGACATCACAGGTTGTACCATGTGATCCACCCGCACAAAGCTTTACAGCTATGGATGGGGCCTACCTGTGACGCACAGATCTGCTTGATGGGTGAAAATTAGAGGTGGAAAACAAGAGCCTTCCTTCTATACTTCCAAATGAATATTGATTATCTGGGTTGGATGGCACAGACAATGCATTTACCGAGGTCTTCTCTTAGTTTGAAGTGCCCAAATAAAGTTTACCAATGAAAATTAAGATCTCCCCATGTTAATGAAAACTAAAATTAAAAGAGGATGCCATTTCTTGCTCTAAACTAGCATTAGAAATTATATAACTATGAAACAGAAACTTGGAAAATCTTGAGTGGAAAATACAAAATATAGTAATCCATTACACAGTTTTACCTGTTGGATCTGAGACCACGTCATATAAAAAAGAGAAAACAATATTGTTGTGCACTGACCAGACGGAGTGTTGAAACCAAACCAGTTTCATGTTCAACTTCCCTGAATGCTGACGTCTAGAAACAAAACGGATTAACTGGAGCTTTAAAAGAGAAATGAGCATTCTTGTTAAGTAAACTCTCTCCACATAGACATGTAACGGTTTGCAGCTGTTCACATTTAAGATTGTTGTGTAATAAGTCACATTCACACATGTCAAAGCATTGAAAGCATTTGTGTTTCCTTTATTTGCTTTAATTAAGATGTAAGTAGAGCAAGTACTAGGAATTACTAACATTCATTCCCAAAGTTATTTTAAAAGTTTAGCATAAAAATATACTTTAGAATTTGAGTTAAACCGTTATAAATTAGCTTTTCGGCATTAGCATCATTGGCCTGTAGATGTAATGCATTCTGCAGGGTTTCCATACAGAATTTTGTCTAAGCCAACTTGTTTTAATGAACTATGTGAGGTTCCTTAAGATGGCAGGTGGTGTGATTTTGCAATATATGAATGGATTGAAATAAATTACTTCATATGTATTTCTTTTGGGCTCAACAAATTGTTTTTAATGTGTTATTTGTCAAACAATCAAGTGTTGCTTTTTTTTTCTTCCATAGTAACATCAAACCACATTGAGCATGCTCACTGTTTTCACTTTATTTTCCTTTTCCATGGCAACAGACATTATTAAAAGATTGTCTATAACAGACATGTGCGTCACTCCTCATAAGATCATTCTACACTCTGTGCCGCACTTCGATTATAACTTAAGTTAACAAAGAATAAAAGGTAAAATACATTACACATTACAGTAATAAAAAGTAATAATTAAAAAAATCTGGAAATTATGCCGTTGATATATTTTCTGTGTTGGGAAAACACACACACAAAAAACCTGATAGGCCAAAAGTAAAGGACAGAAATATAAATATTAGGGACAAGCTTAGTGCAAGGCTAACTTTAAAATTTTTTTATCCTAATTTATTTCAATTCTATTCAGTTTATTTATATAGCGCCAGTTCACAATACATGTTATCTCAAGGCACTTTACAGAGAAAATTCAACGAGAGCATACAGTCAGATTGATTCAAATTTTCTGTCTAAGGAAAACTAGTTGATTGCATCGACTCATTGACTCTTCAGCAATCCCTCACACCAGGCCTGCTTGTAGTGACAGTGGAGAGGAAAACTCCCTTTTAACAGAGAGAAACCTCCAGCAGAACCAGGCTCAGTGTGAGCGGCCATCTGCCGAGGCCGACTGTGGTTCAAGGAGAAAGAAGAAGACAAACAGAAGTAGAGCCAACTCCATGCCAACCCCCATGTCAGAGGCTGAAAAAGAGCAAATACAGTTAGTCACAGTCAGAGAAACAGGACTAGCCTTAAAAATAGACAAGGTGTCTGCCTACGGACTAAAACCGGTAGTTGGTTCCACAGGAACCAGAGCCTGATGGCTAAAAGATCTGCCTCCAAATATACTTTTAGAAATGCTACTAACCACAAGCAGAGATGGCAAAAGTACTCACTTTCCGTACTTGAGTAAAAGTACAGATACTTGTGTTAAAAAATACTCTGGTGAAAGTGGAAGTACTGGTTAAACTTCTTTACTCAAGTAAAAGTAACAAAGTACAGGCTTGTAAATTTACTTAAAGTATAAAAGTAAAAGTAGAAACCACTTTTTTCATGCCGTTGCCTACATTTTAAATGGATGTCTGCCAATAGGACTAGATCTCAGTTGTGTTCATTTTCAATCATCTCGTCGTCCATGCTACTATGCTAACGCCACCGCCACCAAGCTGCAATGATTTGCCGCAAATGGATACCGCCGAATCTGTCGATTCATCTTGTAGTGGTGCGTCAAATGCAACATAGATTCCCATCCAATTAGATTGAATTTGGTATTGATGACGTGAAAAATAATAACGGTAACTCCATTAAAATGATTCAAAACTAAAGTAACGAGCCAATTTTTTAAAATGTAAGGAGTAGAAAGTACAGATATTTGTGTAAAAATGTAAGGAGTAGAAGTAAAAAGTCGCCATAAAAATAAGTAGTAAAGTAAAAAAAAATATCAGAAAAATCTACTTGAGTACAGTAACGAAGTATTTGTACTTCGTTACTTCCCATCTCTGACCACAAGTCAACGTGCCGATTAAGAGCGAAGTGCTCTGTTAGGAACATAAGGAACAATCTGATGTCTGATGTAAGATGGAGATTGTTTTTTAGCACTTTATATGTGCAAAGGGGGATTTTAAATTCTATTCTAGATTTAACGGGAAGTCAATGAAGAGAAGCTAGGATAGGAGAGACTTGATCTATTTTTAATTTTCATCAGAACTCTGGGTGCAGACTAGTTTCTCAGCTCAGAAGTTACTGATTAATAGGCATCTTTTTATAAGACTCAGGTCCAAAGATAATAACTTCTGTTCTATCTGCATTCAGAAGCAGAAAGTTATGAGTCATCCTGATTTTTATGTTTTCAAGACATGCCTGTAGTCTATGTAATGGTTTATTTTTCATCAGTTCCTATATAGCTAGTTTATTTACAATGAGTGTCACTAGTAAGGAGACAATACAAGCATGAATTTAAAAAGATAAATGAATAGTTTGGCATAACTGGAAAAAATCCCATGTCATAAAGTGACAGTAAAGTTAGGCTATTTTGTTTGAATTGTGTGCACATACTGTGAAAACGGTCAAATAAAAAACAATGTATATGTTGTATGTAAACATTACTGTAAACCATATTAACAACTTTGTCAAGTAAATACTTCAAAGCTGTTATAACCATTAATATTTATGAACTGTAATAGTACATAGAAAAGGCTTGCCTTTAGTTTCTGTTATTTTTCAGAATGCAATATGATCTGTGTATGACTTTGACTTCTTAAGGGGTTTAAAACAGAAAAAGGATTGATCTTTAAAATGTTAATGAGATAGTAACTAGAACTTAGACTAATGCTGTTCCAACTGTGACCCTGACTCCCCAAATAAAAGTTTTGTAAATATTCTGTCAGATATTCCATCCTGAAATGATAAAAAATGAACAGAATGCTAAAATTAGATTAGATAGGAACTTTATTTATGCAAGGAAGAAACAAAGTGATAGAAAAGTCATTCTAAAGAGTTTTTAAAACAGAATGAAAAAAAAATCTTACTATGAATAGGAAATTTGAATTGTAAGACATTAAAAAAATATAAAGTTTGTGGTAACCAGTATGAATGATAATAAGCTTACAAATGACCAAGGCATGCAGTTTACATACACGCAGGGAAATCAAAAGCCAAAATTTTCCTACAATTTGATACTAAATCCGACCAGATTTTTCCAGTTTACGCTCTCTTTTGGTCTTAAAAATAGAGATTTATGTAGGCCTTCAAATGGCTAAAATATTTATTGTAACCTTAAAGCTTTTAGGTTTTATTTTGGCCCATTCCTCTCGACAAAACCACTGAAACAAATCAGGTTTTAGGCTGCTGTGCTGACACTCATCCTTTTTGGCATTCAGCCCTAATGGACCTTTGACATGAAAAGCTTTGTTTGATTCAGTTTCCAGACAATAAGTAATAATATTTTAAACTATAGTAAAATTGTCCTCTAAAGAAAAGTAGAAACTGATTTATAGAAATAACTATTGGACCAGACAAAATGTTCAGTATGTGAAAATTTTTACTAAAACACTTGTGATTCTAATGTAAAGTTATTCTCCATGTCAAATGTCAATTTTTTTTATATAGCACTTTACAGGTATAGCACTGCACCAAAGCGCTTTACAGGAAAGACAACAACACCAGTTAACAAAACAAAATGTGGAACACTGCTTCAATTAAAAGCCAAAGAATAAAAATAAGTTTTAAGAAGCGATTTAAAACGATCCAGGCTGTCTGCAGATTTAATTTGAAGATTTAAATGGTTCCACAGAACAGAATATTTGGGGAGTATTCTGAAATTATTGTCAGAGTGAGACCTCCATTTTTTATGCTCAGGCTATGGTTGGCTCTAGACTAATAACGTTATGGGAAAACGTAATTTCTGTCCAATGCGCGTGCTGTGACGTGACATAATGGGACGTAAGCGTGTAAAAACGCTCGAGGCGGAGCGTGAAGCGAACATTCTGCTTCAGTTTATTGATCGGACGGCATCAGACAGATATTTGCCCGCAGATATCTAATACCACAGCTTATTTTTTGGGAGGTTATGGACAGGACGCTGCTCTGAAGAAGTGTGGAACAGACTAAGGTTACAGGCGAACACTCGGAAATAATGATGAAGAAGGATATCAGTCTGACCCTGGTGGACGACGCAGACCTCAAACCGCATCTCCGCGACGCCGAGAGCCTCCTCAACTCCCCGGATTTGGGTCTGCTCAAGCTGGCTTCCCCAGAGCTGGAGAGGCTCATCATCCAGTCCAACGGACTGGTCACCACCACACCAACCAGCTCCCAGTTCCTCTATCCAAAGACGGTGACGGACGAGCAGGAGTTCGCCGAGGGCTTCGTGAAAGCGCTGGAGGACCTGCACAAGCAGAACCAGCTGAACGGAACCGCTCAGACGAACAGCAGCCTGGAGCTCGGGGCTAACATCCCGGCGGTGACCGTTCAGCCGGACCTACCGGTCTACACTAACCTTAACAGCTACGGCAGTGGGCCCCTGGGAACCACTGTCAACTACGCCACGGACACTGTACCGTTCCCGCCCCCTCCCTCTCATCACCTGGGGACAGCCCCGCTACAGCCGGAGCTCTCCCGGGTTCAGCCGCCGAAGGAGGAGCCTCAAACGGTCCCAGACGTCCAGAGCTTCGGAGAGAGCCCACCGCTGTCTCCGGTCGACATGGACACGCAGGAGCGCATCAAAGCCGAGAGGAAGAGGCTGAGAAACAGGATTGCCGCCTCTAAGTGTAGGAGGCGCAAACTGGAGCGGATCTCCAGGTTGGAGGATAAAGTGAAGACGCTGAAGACCCAGAACACCGACTTGGCTTCGACCGCGAGCCTGCTGAGAGAGCAGGTGGCCCAGCTGAAGCAGAAGGTCCTCACCCACGTCAGCAGCGGCTGCCAGATGTTACCACACGAAGTCCAGGTTCACTGATGGGAGGGAGGGAGAAGCTCAGAGGACTTCATTCCTGTTGGTTCTTCTGTATGTAGCCCAGATGCGCCCCCCCACTCCCACTCTGCCAGGCGACATCAACCGGTCTGTACAGAGCCGGCCCAATGCATAAGCGAATCAAGCAGCTGTAAGGAACCAATCAGAGAGCTGCCATTCTTTTATATACAGGCAGTTTCAGCTCATTATAAAGGTTTCAACGTTAAAAATGTACACGTTGAACTTAAAGATATTGGTGAATGTACTACTTGTAAATATACAAAGAAATGTATGGTAACATATTCACTAATTCATGCTCCGGGTTCCGTTTTTCTGTCGTTTGTGTCTGAAGTTGGGTTCTCTTTTTAGCGAGGAACGCCAAACGAGGCTAAGAGATACTTGCGAATTGTCTGCAGCTGTTTTTCAGTATAATCACTTCAGTTTTAGCCCTTCTTCCTAATTGAACCAGATTTCCATAGGCTGTGTGCCGGGTGGTGGGTTTTTACAGGAAGTGGCCATCTGAACCAAATTCCAGTTAATGCCCTATACATTCGTGTGCTTACTCTGAGTGCTAATGTTGTTTAAGACTGATCAAATGTAAGCATATGTGGTAGAACACAACTTGATGAAAGCTTTCAGTGTTTTCAGCCATTGATGTAGAACTGGGATCATTTAATTTTAAAAGGATTTCTTTGTATCCCTATTGTCTACAGAATTTTTTGTTGGTTTGTTGTTTTAGCCAAAAAGAAGATAAATGAGCCTAATTTGTAATCCTGTTCTACCTCGTATGTGTTGGATAGTATGAGCGGGGCACCTTTATTTTTAAAAATCTTGATATTTAGTCCTTAAACGTGTTTATTGGCTGTATTTAGTCTTGACGCTGGACCAAATTGATATTTTTACATTAATATGCACAATTAACCCTCATAAGGGAGGTGTTTGTAAGTAAAAAAAAAAATGATACTTGCGGTTCGTATGAGATAATCTCACTATATAATCTATTTACTATATTGTATTTCTGTAAAGAAAGATTTGCATGTATTGGATAAACTGGAACATTGCCCTCAGCTGTGTCTTCTAGGCAACATGTTTCTATGTGTTTATCTTATAAACCTTTACACGTGTATGTTTTTGTTTTGATTTTTTTACTCTGTGTCCTTATTTCTCTGTGTACTGATAAAAAATAATGTGAAAAGCTGCAACTTTGCTGTTGCACAGACTGTTGCTATCACCTGTAGCCTACAGTTAGTTTGGGCTTAATGCTGTGTTTTGAAATAAATGCTGCTCAGCAATAAAGGTTTTGCTCTTCATTTGTTTTGTTACTCGTAAACCAGACGTTGGGGGAGAAATAGGCAGTCACTGCTGCTGATGTACTGATTAATTACCTTGGATGTGTTCAATATGCATAATACTTTTGATATCAGTACATCACAGCAGAGGGAGATATCACTTTGATAAATAGAAATTATCTTGTCAATTTTTCAGATTCTAGTTCATTAAAAACTAGAACTCCTATTAGAAAACCTAAAGTACTTTCTTTTTGTCTCCTTTGTTTTATGTACCTTGAAATTGCATGTTCTTTTTTTTTTTTTTTTTTTAAGCCAAAACTTTTTTTTTTTTTTTTTTTAAGCCAAAACAAGGCTTTGTTGGGCTACCCTACAAAGCATGGAACTCAACGCTAATTCTGACATTTTGAATTGAAAAAAAAAAAAATTCCTGAATGGGAAGAGAAATTTTTAAATTTGGAAAACCAACTCCAATGGTTTGTCTTTTAACTTTTTTGGTATTTACCTTGAAGAAAAAAAAAATCAACAGACCAGATCTCAAAGATAACTGGAAATCAATGTTGGCTGTTAAACAAACAAAAAAAACAACAACAGGACTTCTGTATCTTTATGTTACAGACTGTATAAAGTTATATTTTGAAATTAAACTTTTTTCTGAACCTCGGGTAAATATTTTATACAACTGATTCAGATAATCTTATAACACCTTAAATAGAAAAGCCAATATAATAAACTTTTGACCCCCATTATTTCCTCCTCTGGTCTACTGTCCTTATATTCAGATAGGAGTATTACTCCCCCTGGTGGCTGAATGCAGAAATAACACCAGTACAGCAGGGCCCTGGTTGAGTTTAACATTAAGTTGTCAAACACCCCTGCTGGAACAATTTGATTAAACGAGGGTTAGGAAACATTATTTAACTTACAAACATTTTTGATGAAGTAGCATTTGGCTGCATATTGCCATTTTACGTACAATAATTTTTAGTAATCTGTTAAATTGGTGTTTCATTACTTGCAGTGAGTCATGATCAAAAGATAAGTTCTTTTCTTTATTTTGAGCTAATTTTGAGTTTAAGATGAAGTGATACTGAAAGCGCATCCTCGAAAAAATAGATTTTGAAATGTAACAACTTTTGGAAAGAATTGAAATGAATCCATCTATATTGGATTTTTCCCAAACTTTTTAGCTTCTGACCTACAAAATGGTACCAGACTAGACCCATGACTCCAAACTATTGGTGCAATACACAGACATTTTTACAAAATCAATTAACCATGGGTTTCATAATATTACAAACAGCCAAAGTTTTTTTGTCTATTTTTGAGTGATGCTTTTTCATCTTTATGAACATAAACATTGATAATTTAGTTTAATTTCTATAGTAGATCTGAAGACACTATGCTGGTTGATCAAGGTTCACCCTAACTTTTGGAGTCAATGCTCTATATGACTGGATGTGATAAGATAAACATTTTCCTGTCTTCCGAATTTTCAGATTTCTTTTGCGAGATAATATTTGCTGTATAGATTACATAATAAAAAAAAGAATTGTAGACTTTAATATACAAAACATATTTTAATGTACTAAACAGACTTTAATATACAAAAGGCTTTAGAGGTTGTTTGGTTTCTTCTAAAGCCGAACATAAAACTTATTAAGATAACTGTCATGTCAGGTTACTCATAATTGTCATCTACTGGATGACTTTAAGCTAAAAACTGCACATCGAGGCAAAGCATAATTGATTAGTTAATAGGTTTTCTTTATAAACACGACAATTTCTGCTTTAAATCTTTGATATTCTCAAAACATTCTTAGTCCAGCAACATGGAAACTTTAGAACACTTATGATGAACAAGCCAGGTAATTGGACATTTAATATGTTTAATATTTTCCAGGATATCAATCTTATTAATGTTCAGAACAGAATAAGCAGATTTCTTTGTGACTTATAATAATGCTATTGGTGTTTTATTGTGTTTTTAGTTGTATTTATGAAGTTATTGAATTAATGCCTGCTGCACTGTCCTCTCTAATTAGAAATGAGGACAGGGTTAAAAAAAACAAAACCAAAAAAAACTGTTAGCACTTTTTTCTCTCTCACTGTGAGGTTTTATGTGCCTTTTAAATGCAGTGTTCAGATTTTTTTCCATAACTGTTTTGTGTTTTAGGCGTAAACGTGTTTCGTAATGATCTCCTCTGACCATAGCAACTTCTTCCATGTTAGTTGAGCCAGCTGCATGAATTGAGGAAGGTTTCAAACTGGATTTTCCCTGAGCAAGCTTTTCGAGAAGCAGCGATGAAAACATAAAAGCAGGTTTTTATGTAAAATCAACAAGTAAATGCTTTTATTTCAGTTATTTTTATTGTTTTACCACAAAGTACAGATAAAAACATCCACAGCATGTTCTCTCATTTTAGTGGCCCAAACTGAAGGGATCTGAAGAGGCAGTGATTACAAGACCAAAAAGAAATAAACATACACGTTCCTGCGTGCTAGTAGAAGATCTATAGTCAGCAACCTCTACCAAGCTTGAAGGGTTTTATTTTCTTGTATTTTATGCTGCAGAGTGTGTATTGCTTCATAACTGAGAGACACATTCATTCACAAGTAGGCCAAGAAATGATTGCAGATACAGTACAACATGGCTCTTTTTAGGTTTGTTTTTTTTTTTGGATGCAAGCCTGTCGGCACAACACAATTTACGTGTATGACTGGGAGGTACAGTATTTACAGGTAATGGTTTATATGGAGAGGAAGACGTATTAGAAAGGAGAGCATTTTTATCAGTTTGGGTTTTATTTAGAACAGTCACAACCAATAAGAAGTAAAATATTCACAGGGAGAAAAATCACTAAACGCTGGCTGGGGATTCATTTTCTGTTACTTCAGCTGTCATTTCAGAGGCTCTTAAAATAAAACGGAAATATTGACTTCATCAAGTCTTTTTTAATGATTTTTTCCCCCCGATTTTTGTAATTTACTTCTATAAATTCCTAAGAGAACCCCATCTTTGTTTTGTTTTTTTCTTCCAAAACCTGTTTCATTGCAACTTGGAGCTAATGAAATGCCCCTATCAGCCAGTTCTACAGTAATCCAGCATCAGATGAATTAAAATCCTAGAAAACCATTTTTGGCTTTGAAAAGTGAAGCAAAACAAATGAGTAAATACTTTGAGGATTTGTTTGCCCATTAAAGCATTGACTCCAGCAGTTTCAACCTTCTCCAAAACAGACAAACACCAACATTTAAACATTAGCCTCCAACAGTCCAGTAGAGCTGCTCTGCATTACAGGATGCATTTTGTTAATAAGCACAGGAAAAACAAGCGCTTAAAGTGCTTTTAGCCACTTGAGTCACTGCAGCTGATGAAGCCTCGCTGCAGATGTGAGTACAAGCAAAAATCAGTCAATAAATGCTGAACTGACTTTAGTTCAGGCTGAAGGATTCAAATGTAAGACAGAAAGCCGATGGAGGTTTTAACTGAACCCTCATCCCAAGTGTTTGATACCTGTCCAGACTGCTTCACCATTTTTGGTACCCCTGGTGCAGACTTGTAAGAAGCAGCATAATCCCACATTACAAACTTTAAAGAAAGAACAACCTTTAACTTCACTCCATATTCCAGGAAAATAATGAATTCTGAAATAGCTGATTTTTACCAGTTAATAACTCTACTACCAGTTACTTTAAAAAAAACAATGAACTGAAGATTTTTTACAAAAGTAAACCAGGTGAAACTAAAACTTTTCCACTTGAGGAGTTCTGGATAGAGGATATTGACAGATGAAAACTTTTTTTTAAACTTAAATGCTGCTCTAAGTGGGTGCTCTAAGTCAGGTAAAGGATTATTTTAAAGTCTCTATTCTCACAGATAACGATTAATTGATTAATGAATTAGATGATGATTATTTCAATAATCGATTAATCACGAATAATTCGACTAACTGTTTCAGCCCTTTTCTAAATGTGCACTAATAACTCTTTAAATATGACTGACTGACTCATAAAATGATTTGTTTTTCCATTCGCTAGTACTAAGTTGGGCACTATTTGAATTGTTAGAAATTATAATAGAAATTATGTACTATTTAAATTGTGCAATTTGTATTTTTAATTTGAGTATTTAGAGAATCACCTTAATTGACAAAATCAATAGCTGCAGGTCTGAGATTTACAAGAGCCATAATTAAAATCTCAAGAGTGTTTTTTACTCAACCAACATTCAATATGATAAAGACAAGAAAAAAAAAGAAAATTTAGATGTATTCATCTTCATATTCTGTCTTAAACGATAATAATTAGCTCCTCTAAAACAATCTCAAACGTATTTTATAGTAATCCCTTCCGATCAGTCTTTACCAGGGGTGCCAATAAATGTGAAGGGCATCGCATAATTTATTCCTAAACTCTTCTGCTTGTTGGTGTGGAATACAAAATACATTTCTGATTAAACTTATCAGGGTTCAATCTTTTTGAAGCGAAAATGCAAAGCTGGTAAGTTCAGCATTGCCAGAGCAGAAGTAGCGGGCTGCAGTGTCCAACCTGTGTGGGACTTAAACCAAAAAAATTACCTAAAACCTCACATATAAATACAGTGAAACCACAACAAACTCAGACGGCACTATTCTCCTTCTATTTTGTCACAACAGAGATGATCAAGATAAAGTCAGAATGAGATAAAACTGAGTAAACCTAACATTTTTTTCATTATTAAAATCCATCTCTAAATGTTTTAGAAATTTTTTTTATATATACTTTGTTGAACAAAGTAAATCTTTCATTGATCTTACAATCTTACTGAAAATTTGGATGAGTTTGTGCCTTGGAAATAACTTTTCTATTTACTAGCTGTATAGAGTTTATTTCCAACTGATTAACAGCACAAATGTCTTCCTCTAGGATCAGATCTACATGATATTTCACATCAATTATCCTAAAAATCCACCATTAAACTCAAGTTATATGCAGCCCATACAGAGCTTGTAGTGTTACCTTTAATTTTAATCAGTAAAATAAAAAAGTGAGAAATGAAACTACATACAGTTCTTCAGCCTACCTCTCTGATCTGATCTTTTTCAGTCTGAAGTGAAAACTTAGAAATTTGCATAATTCCTGAAAGATGCCACAAGCGGGGGGAAAGTAGCTCCCTGAGGAGCAAAGAAACCGATCCTACAACAAAACACCTTTTTTTTTTAAATCTAACACTAACCTCGCAGTACATCATACTTTTTAGAATTTTTCCTCAGAAGTGCATACCTGTAGATATTATATGTCTATATTGCACAACATTTATATGTACATCTAAAATAAATATACTGAAATAAAAAATTATCTTCTTTAATATACGGTTCTTCTCTCTTTATCTGCTCACCAAAGCTTCTTCATTTTTTACCCTTTCTGTGGTTTAGGTTATGAAAACAAGGCCAAAAGAATACAAAATAAAAAATGTCTAAAGGAATAAAAGATATAGAATAAAAGGATAAAGGATTAAAGATGCTTGGAGGAGCTTTGGAAAAGGTCGTGTTTTCAAGTGTAAATAGATGGGAATACAAAACAAAACTGATATGGATCTCAAAATGTAATATACCGGTTTTGAATATTTCTCTGATGGATCATAGCATCTGTGTTAATCCACCGTCGACCTCTTGCTCACCAAATCCAAGGCTTTCAACTCTTCATAACAAACGACTGTAAACTTTAGAAGGATTTAAATGGCACTCTGAGGATGCTCGCCGTCAAATCCTTCTGGTGAAACCATACTGAGGATCAAGAGAACCAACAAGAGCCTGGGCTGCAAAAAGTCATAAATGCACTGGTTATAACGGGCTTGCTTTGGCATCAAATTAACACCTGGACTGATAAAAACACCTATAAATCTCCTGTTTCTGGAGACACTTTACAGAAACACATTCAAAATGTGGGAACACCACCTGCTTGCAGCATTTCAGACTCTTCCCAGCCCTTGTCTTGTGGTCATCAGCCCCCCAAAAAAGAAAAAGAAGCAGGAAGAGGGGTGAACAGGATGCTGGAGGAAGGATCCAAGGACCTGGGGTCCAACTAAAGAAGTACTGGGAAAAAAAAGAAACAGCAGGAAAAAAAGGGTTTAGGGAATGAGTCAGCTTTAACATGCACAGTCCTGATGGGGAGGGGCAGGCTGCTCTGCCAGCTGGGGCCCCTGTTTGGCCCCTGTAACAGCAGGATCTCCAGCATCCAGACTCTCTGACATCTTTTCACAGATGATATCGACAAGGCGCTCAAAGGTCTGCTTCACATTGATGTTGTCCTTAGCACTGGCCTCAAAGAACTCAAAACCTGGAGGAGAAACAAGGGCAGAGAGATTGTTTTAGTAAAACAAAATGTTTGCCTTCAAGATGCTGCAAAATAATGATTTTTTTTTTTCCAGAAACAGTAGAGCTGTTTTAAACAGGTTGATAACCTGCTACAGGCGAAAGGTTGAGGTCAGGACCCCCTCCAGGAGGTTAACAGCTGTAAAAGTCACTATAGGTTAATTTACACATCATTTTTGTGTTTAATATTGTCATTTTGCTGATTGTTGAATGTATCATCCTCTTTATGGAACGTCAATATCACAGTTAGCATAGCAGAGCCTTAGAATGATGCTACCACCACCATGTTTTGCACTTGGTACCGTACTCTTCACCTTGCCCTATTCCCTTTTTTTTGTTTTTTGTTTTTGCAAGTCGTTCCAAAACAGATAAACCATTTTCCCATCTTAACCATCAAACTTCTCCCCTAAGAAAAAATAGTTTTTTCTTTTGTTCAGATAAACATGTGAGCAGAGGCTTCTTTGTTCTCAATCTATTTGGAGGTGAAATCCCATCACAGTGGGATTGGTTTCAGTATGTTCACATTTTTATAAGTTTTAGTCTTAGGTTTGTTCTTGATTGTCCTGATCTTATCTTTTATAATAATCACATTTATTTGTTACATCATTTATCCAGTATACAATATACAAATGTGGCCGCTGCATCTAAACCAACTCTTAGAGAGGTTTGGACTGGCGATTTTGCACCTCTTCTGTTCTTTAAGGGCAAGTCTGGGTCATATGTGTAAAACTTTCAAACTGATGTTCTATCAGGTCTTTGATGTTAACAACAGGCTTTGAAATTAAATAAGTTGGCAAACTTTTAGCTTTTAAAATAGGGTCAAGATTGTACTCCTGTTAAATTTGATCTATTAAAAGTTGGGTCTGTGCCAAAATAAGAACTATAAAACTAAATTAACTCTTACATTTCAGAATAGCCTCATGGTCAACTTATTTAACCAGTTAGTCCAGAAGCTTAATGAAAGCTCAGGAAAATGTGGAATTTCTTCAGCTTGTTTAGATAGATTTAGACAAAATTATTGGGGGTGTTTATATCAGAAGCTTTATGTATGAATTTTGTCTAGGGGCGGATTTAAGAAAATCTTAACACATTTTAAGAGCTTGGAACCAACTCTTGTTTTTAAAAATTCACGGACACTGTTTATTTCATCTTTATTAAGCCCTCAGTGAATTATAGCTTTGATGCATCTTTAACACATTCGATTTATTCATGCTAATATTTAAAATTAAAACTGGAAGAGCACAAACGGTGCAAGGAGTTTAAACTTACCGAGATGTTCTGAAAGCTGCCGGCCTCTATCGGCACTCACCACCCTCTCGTCCTCCATGTCACATTTGTTTCCTACCAGCAGCACCTGGGCGTTATCCCACGAATATGTCTTAATCTGAGTCGACCTGGGAGCAAACACAACCAGCTTACTGTTCAAATTCAAAGGTTCAAATTCTTCCTCTCAGTCTAAGCAAGGGGGCAAAAACAAAAGTAAAAAAACTGCCATCACAGAGGCACAATTTATTCAATGAGATTAAATTTGTTGCAACAGTAACAAATTTCTTTTCCAGAATTTTTCTTTCTTTCTAAATTATGTTTTTTTTTCCTAAGTCAATCATCAGACCTGATTTAAAATCAAATGCAGACATTGGGAATAAATGATCGTCTCTGTTTAACTGACATGAAACAAATGTTGCTTTATACTAAATGGACCTTTATGGTTTTATTGGCATCATCTGCCCTTGTTCTGTTTACAGCCAAATCTCCAGACTATCCTGACAACATTTCACTGGTCCACACAAATCCCTTTAACAAGTAGTGGTTACCATACACTTTTATCATGCAAAAAAAAGAAGAAACATTTAGTCCTTCATCTGGAAACGTACCAGTCCTGGACAGCGTTGAAGGAGTCCTCGTTTGTGATGTCATACATGAGGATGAAGCCCATGGCTCCTCGGTAGTAAGCTGTGGTGATGGTGCGGTAACGCTCCTGACCTGCTGTGTCCTGGAAACAACAATTACAAAGTACAATTCTTCTGTTAGGTCACAGAGAATATTTATTAAATGTTAAATTAACATATTGTTAGATAAGATGATAAGCAAGTGAAGCTGTGAAAAGATGAAGCTGAAATTGTTAAAAAAAAAACTCTACCAGTTTATAAAAGGAGTTGCATAAATTTCTTCTTCCTGTGGTGGAAAACATTATATCTAAAAGAACTAATTAAAGATGTAAACGCTTCATATTGAAATGTTTAATTGTATTGATTGAGGCTTTACTCCAAAAACATTTCAGCAAAGATCAAGATAGTCTCTTCTGAGGTGCAGAGTGTGTCTAGGTGTGCATCCACAATGGCAGTGAAGAAAAAAAAACGTAGTATTTCTCTTATGTCCCAATGTGCGACAAACGGGTCAATGCTGCAGTGATTGTATTTTTCTGTAGGGAATCCTACTTCTGACAGTTTAAGGTGGTTAACAGCTTTAGAATATTATTGCCATAAATCCTGTGGCGCTAAATGCTTTTGATTCATAGGAGTAAGTTAACTTACAATTTAGGAACACCGCCATAAATATTGGAAGTTAAATTGTGCCTGAAGAGAAGCACCTTTTATAACAAGCTGTCACAAATTTGTCAAGGATTGGGTTTATCACTAAGAAGTGCAAAGATAGAAAAAATACATTTTAAACTTGTAACCCTTTCTCTTACTTTCCTTTAAAAAAATAATACAAAAACTTTAGGAAAGGCAAGGCAATATTATTTATGAGGCACATTTTAGTAGCAAGACAATTTAAAATGCTGTAATAGGAAAACACAAAGAGAAAAACACATTGCAATATAATAAAATGATTGATAATCAGTTATTTGTATATGGATCCTCTTTTTGGTATCCATCGTCGCTAACACATTGCACATAATGTTTATGGTTTTAATCTACGCTCTGGATTACCCATAATTCCAAGTCGTACTGTAAAAATAAAATAATCAAATACCTCGTTCTTTATTGTGGTTTGAAACATATTATATGAGTTTATTTTTTACCAACCGTCTAATGAATTCTACACAGTTATTAACATATTAATTAAAAGTACCACTGTCTGCTTTGCTGTTGATGGTGTTTAAACGGCTCACCATCATGTTGAAATCTGCCATCTGTTGGGGTATAAATATAGCCTGGGTGCCATTCTAAACTTAGTCCCGCCCACAACGTTTGAGGTCGGGAAGTTCGGTCTGGTATTGCACAATAGTAGCGCGAGTATGCTCGCACAATATCTGGCGGGCCAATCAAATTGTCAGGGCGGGCTTTATACGATGATGGACAGATGATCAACAGTAACGTAATCAACCACGTCACCAAAGCGCGCTTGGGTGACAACAACAATGGCTGCCGCTGGAGAGTTGAGGTGTGTAGATTCTGCTATTAGGTCTGTTCTAGAAGATATCGACAGCAAATTAATTTTAAAAGAGGAACAGAGAAATGTGATCAAGGCTCATCTTCTTATTCTAGGCGTGCAACTGCACGCTTTGATTTTTGTTGACAACAACTATGCGTCGCTTAACATACGTCACGCACTCCGTTGCTCTTATTGGTTGTAGGTCTATCCAATTTAGTGCAGAGGCATTTTTTTTTCCTGGTTCGTTCGAAACACGCCCCATAATCACATCTCTATGGAGCAGTATCAGACTCATATTCTGACTAGAATTGAGTAGGACTACGTCAGGCTAGTATAAATAAGGTCTGGTCGGTTAATGTAGTATCAGGTGGGTTTAGGAGGAATTTTTTGCACCATTACATCTGCAAAGAGACGTCCTAGTCCACAATTGCGTAGGGGGCCAACAAGGTGTCAGTGACAGGGCCCTAAGAGGTTCAGGGGCCCCTAAGCAACTGCAGTCTCTGCTTACCGATAGTTACGCCATTGATATGGATTTCACTATAGGAAATACTTAGTATAACTTCCCTATTTTTTATATATTTGCTAATAATTTGCTTTTAAAAGTTGCAATACTAAAGTGATATTTGTCAACAACCAAACTAAGATGTGTTTTAAAGAAAGCCCCTGACCTTTATGGTGTGAATAAACAGCTGGGCTTTTGTCCCGTATTTGCAATTTAGATCCACTCTCAGTGTTGTAGGCTACCAGGGATAAGAGCATTAGTACTATATCTAAATAGTAAGTGTAGGTAGCACAGAGTGGTGTTATATAAACTCCTCTTATAAGCAGAACATTTCATGAGTGCAGAATGCAAGCTGAGAGGTGAAAATACTGCATCAATATCAATACAGTATTTAGTCTTTGAAAATAGATCAAATAAAGCAGTTTTTCAAAAGGATGGTGATTTAATCCTGGCGACAACTTTCTCCTGCCTCAACAGGCCCTATTAAATGAGTTTATTTCAATGAAATGAAAAAAAGCAATACTGTAGACCATTTATCGCTAAATGGGATAAAAAAGACCAAAAAGTGCATGAAAGATAAATAAAATAAGACTAAATGAAAAGATTTCAGAACAATACAGGCAGCAAACTAAACCATCTGTCACTGAGGGAGGTTTAAAAAGGACCTTAGTTAGATGTGTTAGGTTTTAATAAAGTCGACAGTCCTTGAGATTTTATTCTTGAAATACTGAAGCCTGTTATTATCCGATATGAGTCACACTTATGTAAGCAGATAGAAGGAAGGCCACAGTAGGACATAGAAAAACTTTTAGACAATAGATGTTGTAATTTGCCCTAGTTAAAGGCAGCTTCCTGCTCAGTGGAGCAATAGGTAGCACTAGCACCTTGCAGCAAGAAGATCCGCGTTCGATTACGGCATGGAGTTTGCATGTTCTCCCTGAGGATGCATGGGTTCTCTCTGGGTACTCTGGTTTCTCTAAAATGTCCTTAGGTGTGAGTGTGTGTGAATGTTTGTTTGGTGACCTGTCCAGGGTGTACCCCGCCTGTCGCCTGTAGGGGCACCAGCACCCCTCGCGACCCTGCTTGATATAAGTGTGACAGAAAATGGATGGATAAAGGCAGCCTGATGATAAGCACCATTTTATCATTTCCTTTTTTCAAACATCAGCTTCTTTTATTTGGATTTTGTTTGACAAATGAACACACATTTACAACCATCACTGTTAAAAGAGAAAGACAGTTGTTTGCATGTTTAACCTTTTTTTTTAAAGCGAAAACTGAATCATATATTCTGAACATTTCTGTTTCACATTAAAACTGACTTTACCTGAGTTTACTAGGCTATTATAACACAAGAATATGGCTTTATTAAACAATTTTGATGTTACACTGGTAGAAATCTATGTCACCCTGCTAGAAGGTGAACAGGTTATAATTTTTTTCTTTTCAGAATGGGCGGGTATTTATATATTCAAGAATTACACTGCTCGAGGTGGCTGGACCTTGCAGTAGCTCTGCTAACCCTTTTTTGTTTTACTTTTGTAGTTGGACGATGTGCAGCTAGATGGACTTTTTTTTTTTTTAAATTACTTTAGACCTTTGCACATTATGATGCATACCTTTGGCAACCAAGTTGCTTGTTTAAACCCAGAAGCAGCTCATCTTTAAAGCTTAAATACTTTTGCTACTTTCTCAGTTCCCAACTGAGTAGAAAATCAGGCACCAAGGATTTAGAGCCGGAAATAGAAATAGAAGAGAGAGGAACAGCAAATTCAAGCCATCTTTTCCATCAGTCATTATGAGTTGTTTAGGAAACAAGTCATACAAATTCCCCCCTAGCAAGGGCCTAGAAAGAATCAGGAATACAGTATTATGTTTTACTGAGACATAGCTGCAGGATCACATCCATGGCTCCAGTGTTTCTTTGTCAGAGTTTCTAATCATACAAGCAGACAGAGATTTTAAAAAGGCTGGAAAACTAAAGTTAGGTGGGTTGGCATTATTGCTGATATTTCTGCTGAGTTCCTTTGTCTTTGTGATGCTGTTTATTCATTAATGATCTTTAACATACCTCTTAACAGAAGAGCTGCAGTCATATAAAGTTTAAATTATATACAGACTTGTTTTATCTGCTAATGAGGAGAGTATTGAAGAAATTTAGTTTCAGTGGATTTTATTTAGAGGTATCACAGTAAAGGGGTCAGAGGATAAGAAAGGAGCTGGCCCTAAACAGGACCCAAAGGGATCTTACTGAACTAAAACATAAGAAAATAACATTAAAAGAAAAATCTTAACCAACACATGGAGAGGAGAACACCTTAAGATATTAAGGTATTAAAAAAATAAAGAACTGAATATAAAAAACACCCTCTGTAACCATAATATACATGAAGTATAATAATAATTTAGCATTTCATTAAACACAATAAAAAAATTACACATGCTAAACAAACACAGAGTGCTGTTTCCAGTGAGATACCATGCAACTGAAGGTACAGCAACAAGAAAATATGATCTAATTAAAAGACTATATAATATTTGCATCTAACTAAGCTTAGTGGAACTCAGGGTAAAATGGATCTTTGAATTTGAAAAGCTGCAGACCCACGAGGGATGATAGTGTAAGGCAGGCATCCCCAAACTCGGTCCTCGAGGGCCGCTGTCCTGCAGGTTTTAGAGGTTTCCCTGCTTTAGCACAGCTGATTACAATGATTGCAGAGCAAAAGTCTGTTGATCAGCTTTCAATTAAAAGCAGCTGTGCTGGAGCAAGGAAACCTCTAAAACCTGCAGGACAGCGTCCCCTCGAGGACCAAGTTAGGGGAAGCCTGGTGTAAGGGATTATTAGGCTGGAGAGAAGTATGGTTAAAAAAAGTCAGCCTGAGAAATGCAGAAACACACCTTTATGATCCTCTGTTCACCATCACAGCATATTGTTAATCTTAAAAAACAATAGCTTAATGCATTTAAGCTCACCTCAGTTTTCTCTGCAAGATGCTCCTAAATGCTTCTAATCTATTTGCACAAGAACCTTTATAACAAACACATATATAATGCAACCAAACACCAGAGAAAACATTCTATTTTCTCCCGAAGGCAGGTCAGCTCAATTTGCTGTGTCATTATATTTGGACTAATTTGTTCTTCTCTACACATTTTACCTGAGTGAAAAATCTGTGTGTATTCAGAGGACAGTTTGCACAGCTGAACCGCAACATAGGGCCATACCTCACAGCAGGCTACTCAGACATGGTGAAATTTAACATGAGATCTTAGTTTCTAAATCACCAGAAACCTGTTGAAATATGATTAAAAGAGGCAGTCATCATAAGTCGTCTATTTGGCTGGGATTATATTCCAGGGATAAAATAATTAACTTCCTTTTATGTGTGCATCAAACTTTTTATTTTTCCTTTCTGAGCAGATCACTAGCAAACACAGATGCATTCATAAAATAGCCTTTGTTGATAGAAGAGAGGATAATAGAAATTCAGACAGAATGCATATTTAGGGAATATTGTTTAACAGGTTTTGCAGGATCTTCCTAATATGTAAGGGGGGAAAATAACTGGGAAATTAAAAAAAGAAATATCCACCCATCCATTTTTTATACCTGCTTCACTTGACAGGAGGGTTGGTATCTTTCTGCAGGTGCCATTTGGTGAGAGGTACGATGTTAAAAGGTCACAAGCTCATCAAAGGACAACACAGAGATGCACACACAGGACAAACAACCATGCACAAACACACTCAACCCTAGGTCAATTTAGCCAGACCATTAACCTGACAGTCATGATTTTGCAATGTAGGAGGAAGACGGAGCGCCAAGTGAGCACACATGCATGCACAGGAAGAAAATATAAATTTGATTTAGAAAGACCCCAGGCCGCCATTCAAACCCAGGACCTTCCTGCAAGACAAGAGTACCCTCTACAGAGCTATAAATAGAAAAATATCACCTGATCAAATTAAATTATCTCAGACCAACCAACCAACAGGGAGGAATTAGCCATGATGCTAACAAACAGAAGGACAAATCTTTGTCCTTATTCTGAAAAATCGAAAACTAACCATTTAGTGATAAGAATTTGGAGGAAAAAGACAGAATCTTGCAACCCCAAGAACACTTTAGAGAACTGCGGAGGTGGCAGCATCAAGCTGGGTGGCTTTCTTTGTGCAACTCTTATCTGGTGTAATGAGAAATACTGAAACAATATTTAAAGATATCATGCATAGAGTTAAGTCCTCCACATAAATAGGTTTACCAAATGATCAGTGGGTCTAAACACACCACTGAGTGGAGCTCTGATTTCCGTCTTACTGTATTTATTGCTTTCAGGTAGAGATGAAAAGGTGAGACGGTACACATGTGACTTAGTTACATTTCTGTACAACCTGTGGGAGCCTATTCACTGCTCTAATCAAATATTACATATTCTAAAACAAATAATTTGTAGCAGAATTTTTTTTGTGATTAAATTGCACATATTTTTTTCTTGGGCTTACCCAGATCTGTAGTTTGATCCTCTTATCGTTCCTGTAGATGGTCTTCACCTTGAAGTCAATCCCCACTGTGCTCACGAAGGCCGGTGTAAATGAGTCGTCGGCGTAGCGGAACAAGAAGGAGGTTTTTCCTACACTGCTGTTTCCAATAATGAGGATCTTGAACATGTAATCAAAGTTCTGGTCTGAAGACTCTTTCTGTCCATAGGTCGCTGTTGCTGAGGCCATCTGGGGGAAATAAAAACAGAGAAAAGCTTTGATGAAGTGAGGCTGATGGATGTTACAATAATCTAAGACAGGATCGACTGGCATCAATGGGCTAATAACCCTAAATGGACTGTAACAGTTTAGTTTTACAGAAAAAAACAGGTAGAGCCTCAAATAAAACAATTTTTTATCTTTATTAAGAAAAAATAACCCATATAAACTTTATTTGTTAGATGTATCAAGCTTTTATTAAAAATACAGAAAAGAGCTCGCTTCAACATGAAGTTAGAAAAGCAACACTTTGAAACTCCCATTAGTCATTTAGCTCAAAGATAGCTGAGAGTTTATTCATCATGTTATTCACAAAGCAGGATAGGATGTCATTTTAAAACACTCTCTAATCATCTAAGAAGTAATAGAACACAAGCCTGATCAAATACTTAGGACCTGGGAAAGGGTTTATTCATTTTACTGTGTTTGAGTTTTTCTTTCATTTTGATTCCAAAAATGTGTCAAAAATGTAATGTTTTCTTATCACAGAATAGAACTTTCTTCATCATTCAATGATGCCATGGTCAAAAAGAAAATCTTTTTACCTTTTTATTTCATGGTAAATGAAATAAAATCCACATTTATACTCATCTTTGGACATTTTAAGCAGCATATTTTAAATAATCTAAGTTTTTGAGTCTAAAGTAACCTTACAGTAATCTTCCTTCCACTTTTTTCTTGTTATTTCTTGTGCTTGATTCTACTGTTTACATTTTGAACCTATATTTTGAACCTGGTTACAGCCATAGCAAAATGTGTATGTCCCTGGTTCCCATGATTCTCATCTGGCGTTCACAATAAAGTCCTAATAAGAGAAAACCTCTGGAGTTGATCTTTTCTGATAGCAGGGAAGCAGGGTAGATAGCGGTTTTATGTTGTTACACAATTTCTATAGATATTTTCCCACCATTTGGGTTTGGCTAAGGTTGGAGATTCCTGCAGCACCTGTCCGACTCAGCAGAAGAAGTGGCATTGATTAACTAGTTGGGTTTAAAGGTTGCTCATATGCTACTCGGATATTAATCAAAGCAACACATTGCAGAGTCAGGGAAAAACAGCTTTTGCATTTTATTGGAAAAAGTTTTGAGACAATCAGTCAAAATGTCTGGGAGAAAAAGGAACACAATTTACTGTTCAGAGAGCATGTTAGGAGATTTACACACAAAAGTTGAAATGTATATTTTTGTAAACTTCAGAAGATTATGGCCAACTGTTCATACGCACATGGAAACGTGGTTTTTCAAATGTTTGCATTCAGCTCTTCCACAAACTATTAGGAAGAAGTTCCGTGCATGCATCTTAAGTTACAGTTGATTAAAGCTGCAGCCTGATGACTGCACCAACAAAGACACCCCTGACAACTACCTATGTGATGGTTGTAACTTAAGAGTTATTGGTCAAACAGCAAGTATACGTCCCTCATACTGTAACACAATCCAGCGTGTCTGATTCAAATACCGTCTCAAGTTCCCTTGGTTTTTGTTTTTCCAACCATTACTTAACTGTATCTTTTTTTTTTTTTTAGGGTTTTTGGGGTTTTAATATTGTTTTTTCTTTTATTTCTGGTTCTATGTTCTTCTAAGTTGGTTTACCTTCCAGCTCTCTAAACACCAGAATTCAGTTTAGTAATTTACCATTAATAATCAGACATCAGTTCTCGCAGTGTCTAGAACTTTAATTGCAATGTATGCTTTTCTAAATGTATTATAGGCCGGATCTATCAAAGGTTTGCGTGTATAAAAAC